TGAAAAAATGGACATTGTGTTTTAACTGCAAAGCACAGAACACCCGAAACAGTGATGGCTTCAGCAAGATAGGAGCTCACTGCTCTCACATAAACCCAGTCCAGAGGGAAGTGACTGGGGCCTGGGCTCCTCCAGCTCTCCCATCTGCTTTCCCTAGAGAGTGGCTCTATCCTCCCAGTCCAAGACGTTGGCACCCATGGAAGAGAGGACAAGGACAAGGAAGAAAAGTAACGTGTAGCTATAGAACCTTTTTGCAAAATGTTATTTTCTAGAACTCACAGAGCTGCAGAAGAGGCTGGGGATGCCATCTGTACTCTGGGAGGCCACATGCCCAGATACTAATGCTGCTGCCACAGGATGACAGGATGGTTTCGCCAGGACCACTGGCGATCTTTGCCTCAGCTGTGTTTTGGGAAAGGCCCTGTGTCTTCCTTCTCACTCCTTCTTTCACGTGCAGGAGGAGGGGGTGGTGAGAGGCCCAGGCCCTGGACTCTCAGCGTGGCCAGTGTAGTCCATTTTAGCTTTTCCTAGAAATGGGACAGGTTGGTAACAGTGTATTGTGATTGGATTGTTTGTGTTAAATGGCCTGAGGTTGTCCACATTGCAAATATAAAAGTGCAGGGAGTAGACTGCACTCAACTGCATGAGGAAAAAAAAAATCCAGCCCAAACCAAAACAACAACAGAAAGACCAACCATGCAAAACCTAAGGGAATTTATTATGACTTAAAGGCCATGGTGAGAAGAGACGAGAGTGGTGTGGGCTTATGTGGCAGGGCCATGGGTTTATTAGGGTGGCTATCTGACCATCTTTACAGCAGTGTAATCGAAGAGTGTGCTTACTATAGGGTGGGAATTTTAAATCTCCTTTTAAAAGCATGAGTCCCTCGGGAGTGTGTCAAAGGCAGGGAAGTGCTCCCCGGAGGGCAGTTTCGCAACTCTGGTAGCTGAGTTTATTTTGTTTTATTAAAGAATGCCCAGCTGAACATTTCCTCCTGTTCTCATGCTTTTGCACTGGAGAACACAGAAAGGAAAGTTGGCGTCTGAAGAGCACAACCAGTGGGCTGGAAACTAGAGCTCCTCCTTGCTGCACTCTGGAGGGCACTGGCTTTGGGGCTGTGGAGAATCACCCTGAATTCCAAGTGGTCCACGTGGGGTGGGGTGGGGTGAGGTGGGAGAAGCAAATGCTGTTTGTCAAGGTGGTGCAATGTGCGGTCCCAGCCAAATGGCACCTGGAAAACAAAATGCTGGTATTGACTCAGGTTCACTCCATCCTGGGAGACTGGACTGTTCCTCTTCCTGCCATTGTTACTATTGCTTGAGACCCAGTATGCACAACTGTGTGCCACTGTGCCAGGCAGTGCAGGGCTGGGCTTATGTATTCAGCTGCATCTCCTTCCCTCTAAGCCCTCATACTATTGGGCCAGCCATCAATCAGTCAATGGAGTGAACAAAATAGGAATCAATAACAACCACAAGTTACTGAGTACAGGCTTTGTTTTGGTCCTGAATACAGGAGATCCCAGTTCATTGCATGACCATAACCATAAAAGACAGGGATGATTTTCTCATCCCGGAGATGACGAGAGTGAGGTTGTCAATGCCGGTGAGCTTGTCTCCTGGTCTGTATGTGATGGGACTTGGGGTTTAGGGTGGGGCACTCAAGAAGGGGTGCCCCAGCCCATTGACACCGCCACTGGGCATTTGTGCAGGGAAGGGAAGGTACTCTCTTTTACTGGTGGAGGCATTGTGTATTGGGACGGGTGTAACAGAGCAACATTTCATGCAGAATTGCTTCCAACCTCCACCACCAAGCCTGCCAGGGCAACCTCTCTACCCATAGCAGCAGTCACTATGGCTGACAAAGGGTTTCTGGCTGAGCTGGTCCCTGATTTGCAGCAGTACTATGTTGGTGCCAAGGTAACATTAGCACTTCAGCTTTGGGTTAGAATGAAGAATTCACCTCCTTAGAGAATTAGCACTCCCTTCCTGAACTTTTCTCTGAGTTCACACCATCTGTTTAACACTTGATCATTTTGATCTGTTAGTTTTTGCACATCCACTGGTGTATGAAGATCTGGGGAGAATGAGCCATATAGCCAAATTCCTTGGCCTCCTGTAACACTAACATGGCAGACAGCAACACATTCTTAAAGACTAACAGACTTAATAGTAACAAAAAGTTACTTCTTCATTTTGTTGGTGTCTTTTACAAAGCAGCATCTTTATTTTATTAACACATTTTTTTCCCCTCCTGTCTAGGAGAGGCAGTGCCAGTCTTTCGGGTGTATTGTTCTGCTAAGCTCTCCCAGGGCCAGTGTGCTTCCTGCTGTTCTAGTCTGTGTTTTCTCCCCGCTGTAGGAGACAGACTCACTAAGCAGTGGTTGCACTGCCCAGCAGGCCAGAGACCACCCTCCCCGCCTCCCCACAATCCCCAGGTACAACCTGGCAAACTCTCTTCCGTCGAATAATCCTTTTCACATCTCCACCCATGAAGCTGTTGGCAATTTCTGCCCTGAGAAACCATTGTTTCAGGGTTCTCCCACATTTCTTCCAGCTGCTATCATGTTTCAGTGAATTCCTAATGTGGCTGCTACGTGCTACGGGAAATACTATAAATGTGTAAGTCACGGTCCCTGACCTTAGGAAGCTTACAATCCAGCTGGGGGCTGAGACAAAAAGTAATTGAGAGTGAAGAAAATAAAGAGCCACAAAGATACACAGCGTCAGGACCTCTGTTTCCAACCGCAGGTTGGAACTCATTGGTGAGTGGGTTGTAAAGTAAGTTTACTGGGTCACAATCAGCATTTAAAAAAAGAGAAATAACTAAAAGAGTAAAGGTCAGACTGTATCTGATGAAGTGAGAATAAGAATCATTTTGTGAGAATTTGGTTCTGTTTTACATATAAATAGAACCTATTTTTTTCCCCCACCATGAGTCATGATCAATATGTTGGAAAATTTCTGACAACTATTTGTGATGAGCGGGCCCAGCCCGTGAAGGACACCACATGGAGGGCTCTTCACTTCTGCTTCTCTCGAGAGCCTCTCTAGAAAACGGAGCTACACCAGCATTTTGCATATGATCTTGGTAACCCTTGGACTTGTCAGCCCATCCCCACACCGGGTCACATCCCTCTGACCTGGGGATGACAGCTGAAAGGGAGGCAGCGAGGCTGGAGGAGACAGGAGACAGGAGGGCCTAGTCACCAGGGCCTTGCATTTCAGAAGAGGAGGAGTGCAGTCCATTCACCTCCCATGGAAATCAACAAAGGCCTCCAACGAGGAGGTGCCCATGAGCCAATGCATAGCTTCAGAAGCTCATCCTGGAGGCACTCTGAGGGTAGCAGTCCAGCTTGGAGGCTATGTGAGGCATGGTGGAAGCCAGACAGGAGGGCATAGCTGTGAGAAGCTTTTAGGATAGAAACTCACTGGACTTGGTGTTGCTTTCAACATGGGAGTGGACAAGGGAGAAGGAGGTATCTGGGATGGTTCTAGAATTTCCAGCTTTGAGTGGACAGCAGTGCTGATTGCTGGGTCTGGAATAAATGTGGATAACAAGAAGTTTGGGGAGGAGTTCAGGGCTATGCATGGGTGTATCCAGCAGCCTGGCATATTCACCCAGCATGCTTCCTGGAAACAGAGGTCTCTGTGTTGGTACAGAGCGGCTGTTAAGGTAGGGCGTGGTGGGGGGTGCAGAAAGATGGGCCAGGAGGGGGCTACCTACTTGGTTTGAGTTTTCTTTGGGGTAGTTTGGTGATGGCAGCAGGAGTGCTCCAACTACTCTGAGATCTCTGTTCACAGTGGAAAGAGCAGATGTGTCACGTTGGAGAGAGCTGGAGCAGGGGATGAGTGATGTTTAGACTGAGGCGGGGACTCTGGCCTGGCAGACTAGTTCTGGAAGTGCAGGGGGAAAGGCCTGGCTAGCCGTGTTAGGAAGGCCCAGTGGGTGGTGATGAGGGACTCTGTGTGTGTGTGTTTGTTTGTCCAGCCCCTTATGGATCTGCACTGGGTGGGTGTGCACAGCCCCACACCATAAACCCCCATGAGGAAGGGCTGTAACCCTAGCCTCGTGTTTCCGGCCGATGTCCTGACTGTGGTTTGCTGTGCTTCCCAAGAGCAAGTCACTGAGCCAGTCCTGTTTATGACCTGGCACTTGTCCCTTGAGCCTTGTGCTTGGCGCTGATCATCTGGTCCTGATCCCTTGCTGGCCTTGCTGTATTCACCCCACCTACTCACTCTCTGTCTCTGTATCCTGGGCTGAGCTTTCTCCGGTCTGTCTGAGCTACCACCCCATTTCATCCAGGGCCCCATCAGGGCCAGACTCCTGCGCCCTCCTTTCTGCTGAATCCCATTGAACCTTCCAGGAGGGAAAAGACTCAGGATTCACAGGACTTCCAGGCCCAAGAACCTGAACCAACCACATTTGTTTTTGGAAGATAATGTCAGGAACTTAATGCTCATTCACTCTTGATATGTTACTATGCATCTGGGTTAGAGTCCAATTTGTGTCTGATTATTTGGGTGAACTCCTTAACTATTTGTTTGTAATACCACTAAGTATTTCCAGATGTCAGCACGACGTGCATGCTCTGCTGCTGTGATGGGAGCATTCAGTGCTGAACCTGTATTTTTTTTAAATAAGAAAAATGCATGAAGAGGAGTTAACTCTCCTACCCTAAAGATCCTGCATTATTTACCAACCACAAGCTTTTCCTTGGCTGGGACGTGTATCTCCTCCTAGCACTCATTCCAGCTGCTCAAACATACTGTGGCAAAGTTAGTTGCTAGCTGCAAATTCTGGGATTAGCTGTTTCCCGTTTAGTGGTTCAATGATTTGGCATCCAAAGAAAAGCAAAGGTGATTTCAAAATTCTACCAACTCTCCAAATGGAACTAAAGAGTAGCCCTCATCTCATAGGGTTATCATGAAAATGAAAGGAGACGAGATATAGAAAGACCTAGTACAGCACCTGGCACCTGCTGAGGTCTCAGTCAAGGCCAGTACTTCTCCCGGAGGAAGGCCATGAAATACCTGGCTGGTAGATTTTCACATTAGCCAAGGCAGTGACCTTGAAGCTGCTGATAAGGGTTTGTTAGTAGTTGAGAAATCGATTGAGAGTCCAGAGAATGCTTTGCAAAGAAAGGAAACGGGTAGAACAGGAGTGGTGGAGCTGGCAGAGCTGAGTTTGAATCCAACCTTTCTGTCTTTGTACCCAGGTGACCTTGGGTGCAAGACATTGAGTTTTCTGAGTCTTGGTGTTTTCTTTGGTAAGTGGAACTAACGCCTTCCTCCTCAGGCTTCTGGAAAGAACAACCCTGGCTAACAGTCAATAATGAAGCAGCAATTCCAATCGCCACTGTGACTGTCATCATTTCTTGCAGTAAGTTGTCATGGGGGCATCATATTCTGAGCTATCTTTGTGGGTGTTATAAAAACTGCTCTGTGATAGATGCTGATGATTCATTCATTCATTCATTCATTCATCTGACAAATATTCATTGAGTGCCTGCTGTGCCACAGACATAATTCTATGTGTTGGGGATACAGTGTTCAGAAAACAAAGCCCAGCCTTTATGGATATTTGATTCTAGTGAGAGGGGATGGAGAGCAGACGTTCAGGTCACATAAGTCTTTGTAGGTATAAATCTCCTTAGAGATTCACTGTCTGATTTTGCCCTGCTCAGGCAGACAGTGAGATAGAAATTCTATCGTGCCAGCGCCGTGGCCCATTAGGCTAATCCTCCACCTTGCGGCGCCGGCACACTGGGTTCCAGTCCCGGTTGGGGCGCCGGATTCTGTCCCAGTTGCCCCTCTTCCAGGCCAGCTCTCTGCTGTGGCCCAGGAGTGCAGTGGAGGATGGCCCAGGTGCTTGGGCCCTGCACCCCATGGGAGACCAGGATAAGTACCTGGCTCCTGCCATCGGATCAGCGCGGTGCGCTGGCCACAGCGCGCCGGCCATGGCGGCCATTGGAGGGTGAACCAACAGCAAAGGAAGACCTTTCTCTCTGTCTCTTTCTCTCATTGTCCACTCTGCCTGTCAAAAAAAAAATCTATCGTGTTTATGACTTGGCAGTCTTTTCCCCCTTGGGATTTCTTCCCTGGTGCTCACACTTCATGGCCTCCCTTTCATCCTGTAATCCTTTTTCAGCTCTTCGCTGCTCAGGCTGAGTGAGTTCTACCACTCTGTGGCTCCCAATCTTCTGCTTTGTCCCCTTCTAGGAGAAGGGAGTTCTGGGAGCTTTCCTAGGAACATCCAGGTTCTCTTGAGAAATAAGCCAGGAGACCAAATAGTGCTTCTGTCTGTCAGGAGGCCGTTCCTGCAGGCTCTGGTTCTCCATGGCCGGCATCTCCTTCAGGCTTCGTTTGGTCAGCTGCAAACCTGGCAGCTTGTGAGGCACTGTCACATGGTGGTGCTGTTTTTTTTTTTTTTTTTCCTGTTTCCCATAAAATCTTTTTTCCTGATTTTTCTCTAAACTTTTTTAATTAAAAAAATTAATGGACTTATACAAATGGGGAAAGGTTGATTAATGGATACTAACTTATTGCTAGATGGGAATAAGAATTCCTGGGGCCCTGTTCCATACTGTACTATGATGACTATAGGTAACGATAATATACTGTATAATTCTGTATGAGAAGGGAAAAACTTCAGTGTAGGATTTCAGATGTTTATGCATAAAGGAATGTCAAGTATTTGAAGAGATAGGTGTGTTCAGCTTGACTGTAGTCACACAATGCGGACGTTCTGAAGCATCACGTGGTGCCCCACTGTGGTGCTCCTGCATCTTCTCCACCTGCTGCCCACCATCGCTTCATCCTGTGCAACCTAGATAATCCCTCTGCGGCAGAAGATGAGAACTGCTCCCCACAACGCAGGCTCCCTTGATTCTGGTTCTCCTAAAACCCTGGAGTCCAGCTGGATACACGGCTAACAGGGAAATATTTCTCAGCCTTCCTCCACCCTGGGTGTGGCGACATGACCAGGGTCTGGCTCCTTCCCACCCTTCCTCCAGGTAGGGCTGTGGAGTTGGGGGTCAGGAGTCAATATCTCAACAGAGCAAGACAGAAGGTACCTGGGTCCTTGAGACTGTGTGGCTGCCACATCAGCCCTGGACTACTGATGTCCAAGCAATAATCAGAGAGAAAACTGCAGCTCGCTCTTGCTCTCACTTCCCCCTGTGATTTTAGTTTTCACTAGAGATCCCCTCCCGATGCCCTGAAAGCTCCCTCCCCTCTGTGACCCTGCGATGTCCTCCCAACCAGCCTGTTCCTGTCCATCCCAAAGCAGGGGGGTTGGCCTCCATTAGAGCCACCCTTTGGCTCCGGATGAGCTTGATTCCTCGACAATGCCAGTCTTTGGGGAGCAGGAGTCTGTCTTACTAACTTTGTACCCCACCTAATAACCACCGTGACACTTAGCTTTTACCCTCCATGCATTTAGTGAGTGCTCAATCAATTCTTGGTGAGTGAAGAATAACTCCCTAGTTCTCCCAGACTAAAAATACTCTCCCTCTCCCTAAAACAGTGCTATCCAGTAGATATGTAATTTGAAATATTCAAATAGCCACCTTTTCAAAGCAGTAAAAGATAAGCTAGTGAAATGAAATCTAGTTATTAAAAAAAGAAATCTAGTTATATGTTTTATTTAAGCAGATATCACCAAGAATTGTCATTTTCATCAATAAGCAATATAGAACTTATTGCTGAGAATGTTGTACAATTTTTCACCTTAACTCTTTGGAATCTGGGATGTATTTTGCACTTAGAGAGTATCTGAAATTGGACCAGCTGTGGTTTTATGTGCTTGTTGGTCACTTTTGTGAGTGGCTACGGCATCAGACAGTATGGCTATGGCTGATCCAAGCCAGCTCTGGTGTGTGGGGGTGGGGGTAGACTTAGGGGGTCTGGAAGGCTGCAGGGGAATTGCTGAGGCAGGGATGAACAATGCTCCTTCAGAAGCGCGTCTCTAGTGCTTGCTCGGCACAGGACTCTGCGGTCTATGGAGCACCCAGTGAGTGACCCTTAGTGGCCGTTGGTGATTTCCATGTAGAGAGATTATTGTGGGAAGAGAAAGAACCACTGAGAGGGGAGCAGAGGGGAGCTCTGGGGACCACTGCAGGCTCCAGGTGGATGCCCAGCTCTGAGAGTAGCTAGTGATGTGCAATGGTGACCCAACCTTGGCCGAGAGACAGTGTGACACAGGATGCAGTGGTGCCAGGAGCACCAGGCCTGGGTTTGCCAGCACTGCTGCCTGAGTGGCCCTGGCTGAGCCAGTTCCACTCTCCAAGCCCCAGCGTCCCCTTCTGCCTGCCCAGAAGCAGCAGTCTGGTGGGCACAGAGTTATCTCTCCCAAGGAACCAGTTCCCAATAGCTCGCTAGGGGACTGCTCAGTGGACCGGCTCAGATAACTCCCAGGGCCACCAGGCATGATGGCCTCCTTGGAATTACAGAGGGAGGAATTTTTTCGAGGGATCATTGAAGCCAAAGGTGGTTTCCATCCAATGTGGCTGGCTAGGGAAAGAGTTCGTCTCAAAGAAAGTGGCCTGCAAGGTTGAACAAGGGAGGATACAAGCAGCTGAGGAACACAGAAGGCAGCCCTGGAGAGGGACCCCACCTTTCCCTTCCTCAGGGAAGCACCCTCATGGTATCTGGGGGCTGCAAGGAATTTTGCGTAGTGAGGCATAAAATACCTCAGCAGCCAGGGCTGGGCCTGTGCCAGAGAGAAACTGGGGGAGTCATGGCCAGCAAACGGATCACTTGAAGGGGAGTGGAAAAGTCCCTGAGAGCCCCTTTGAGGTCTTAACTTTCCAATATCTCAGACTAAAGTGGCTTTCTCTTCTTTTACCTTTTTTTCCTTGCATTGATCCAGGTAACAACCTGGGTTTTTTTAGGTAGCTTCTCACACACAGATCTCATCAGAGAGGACTTGAACCCTTCCTGCCAAGCCCCATGGGGGATGAGGCCATGCTAGGGGCCAATTTGGAATTGATTTTAGGAGGGGGCACAGGTCTGATGCTCCAAGATTCAAATCTCTGGAATATATGGGTGTCTGGGGAGCAATGGGCCAGGTGGTCATGGTGCTGGTCTGAGAAATTTGAGTGCTTAACCCACCAGAGGGCTTTAGAAACTTATGATCCTGTACTTGGGAAGTTGCCAGGCTTTCTGGAGGTGGCTGTGATTTTGGGCAAGAGTTGTTGAGGAAAAAAAAATAGGTGTTAGACCAGGAACAGCCTCCTGCCAAGAAATCACCAGGCCAGCATTCTGAGTGAGAGGCTGGCCAAGCCCACGGCCAAGGGCATCCTTGGTGGAAAATGAATTTTCAGGGAGGAAGCATGTAATTGGATGAAGTTCCTTTTTGTCTCCTGCACTTGTAGGAAGAGCTAGATGCTTTCCCACATGGAAAGTGAGTCCTTTAAGACCCAAGTGGAGCCCTGTGTGTCCCAATGTTTCCTTGTGGTGGCATTTCCCTCGAATGACCCCATCCATATGGGAGGAGGTAATGTCTCCTGTGGCGCCTAGAGCAGCACTTGTGCAGCCAGGGTGCTCAACAGTGTTTGTCAGGGCCGCGTGGGTAGTGTTCACCCCGAGGGATTAGGGTGAAGTGACACTTGTCACCCCCCTCTTCCTCTTTCTGCATTCATTTTTCATGCTGAGTGGTACAAAGAGAGAACTGAAAGCCCGCCTTTCTTGTCACAGTCTTTGTTCTATTTTGCTGCTGTTATCTCTCAAGTCAAGGAGAAAATCCAACACACTTGAGAAACATATTCATCCCAGAGTGTCGGGAATTTAATGCTTTCCCCACTACCCTTGTGGTCTAGGCTGGAGGTTCAGAGCTAAACCGGCTGGGTAGGAACCAGGACCCTGCCCCTTACTAGCTGTGAGGCTGTAGGCAATTTACTCCATTTCTGTGTGCTGTAGCTTGCTTATCAATCATTTTACCTCTGCTTCCCAGAGTTCCTAGCATTAAACAAAATGATTACCATCCAGCTCTTGGCACGGTGGTGGGCATGCACCAAGCACGTCAGTGCTGGATACTTGGCGTAAGAGTCTGAAAAGGCACTGACATGATTTTCTGCCTTCCAGAGTATATAATATTGATGCTAATTGCTAGAGTAGAAGAAGCAAAGGGGAGATTAGGATCTGTTTCAGAAAAGCCTCTACCACTCATTTTGGTAGAGTGTTCATGTGTTGGAGACTTGGTCATCAGCGTGGTGGAAATGGGAGATGATGGAACCTCTGAGTAGTGGGACTCAACGGGAAGTCCATAGAGCTTCAGGCACGCTGACTTCAGAAGGGATCAAAGTACTTTTTCATGGAACCCTGGTAAGTTCTGGTGAGAGGGTTGTTATAAATTTGAGCCTGGGGGCCGGTGTTGTGCCT